TGTTCAGGGAGGCTAAAGCTCTCCCTCCTACCACCCCTGAGCTCCTGAAGGCGTGCCTGCACACACCACACACTCACTTGTATTTTTAGGAGCAGCTGGTGCAAGTACATACGCCAATTTGTAAATACAGATGTGATTAAAACATGCACAGTGATTGTGTTAGTTAGCTTGTTGTTACTATAGCAAAATGCCCAAGAGAGTTAGCTTCCAAGAAGAAATCGGGTTGTCTTGGCTTGCAGGTTTAGATTCCAGTCTGTGATCAGTTGGCTCCATTGCTTGGGAAGTGCAGCAAGGCACGGGGACAGAGTATGTAGCAGAGCAAACCTGTTCATCTCATGTCAGGAAGGAAAAAATCATGAAAGGGTCTTGTGTGGAAGTCACAGGCATGGAATTGGAGGGTGTTTTGTGCTTCAATGCTTGAAGCACATTCTGAAAATGATTTGTCATAGCCAAGTCCTCTACATCCTTTTCTCAAAGCACACCCTGAAAGAAAGAATGATGAGTAGACGGATAAGGTTACTCTGTTCCTATTTGTGGCTACTAGGAGGGCACTGGGGGATACATCCAGGACTCCTACTCAGGAAGTTGCTGGAACAACAGGTAAGAAGATTTCTTTTGCACTGTCTACCTGTATCTTCTGTAGAAAGTTATTTTTAGGGTCAAGAAACTATTTTGTAAAGCCAGAATATTCCCCCTGCTTCTACAGCCAAAATCTCCTTCTGCCCTCTTTTGTGGGATCCATCTGGGCAGGAGTGTTCAGGTCATGTGTGGATGACCCTTGGCCAGCTGGTTCCTTCTGGACACTCTAGGGAGAGCCTGTTTCTTGGATTCTTCCAAGAATGCCACCTGCATTCTTTAGTTGTCCCTTTCCCTCCAGAGTGCATCACTCCAATCTCTGCTGTCATTGTCACATGCCTTCTCCTCTGACCTTGCGATTACATTCAGGCAACCTGGATAATTCAGGATAATCCCAAATCTCAGAGTCCTTAATGTAATTACGCCTGCAAAGTCCCATCTGCCATAATGAATCTGTTCCTCTAATGAACCCTAGCCAACACATGTACTTTAGCTATGGATTTTCTTCCCCTTGCCTCTGAAGCTTTCCTGGAAGAGAGTATTCAGACATTTCAGCTGCTGAGGGTGTGTTGGGAGAACATTATGGTTTATATTGAGATGTCCCCACTAAGCCTTGGGCCCTCGTAGGTGGGGGTTTTCAGAGGTGTTTGGATCGGAAAGCAATGTTCACAGTTCTGGGGATTAGACACGCACTTATTCGGGAGAGGGGCCACTGCAGAGGCCACTATGAGAGTTAAGCAGCACAGGTTAGTGAGTGACTGAAAGATACTACCCAGACCTTGGTGTAATAGGAATTAGAAAGAAAGGAGTTAAGATTCTGTTAGGCAGTGATGATAGCAGCCCCAAAATGGAGTCAGGATGCCCAAAATGGAGTCTGCTGAGTCATGACCCTCCAGAAACCTCATAAAAACATCTGCCAGAAGTCCTGCAGCTGTCTGGGTCCTCCCCAGAGCAAGATCAGCCAGGCCATTGGCTCAAGGGCACATGAGCACTGCATGAACACTGCATAGATTGGACCTTGAAAAGTGTGTAGTCTCCTATAGGGTCAGGATTATGTTGCTTAAGCAATGGCCCAAGCTTCCTTCTAAACCCTTTAAAAAGTTCTAGACAAAGACCCTTCTTGGGTATCCTTCTCATAACCCCTGCCTGTCTAGTGGGAGCTTTACTGCCTTGCCTTTCTATCTTTTATTTTATTGCCTTTTTATTTTTTAAATAAATTTGCTTGCATCCAATCTCTTCTGTCCATGATTTCATTCTTCACCATGGTGGGACATAACTCTGGTGTTCTGGTATCATCAGGACCAGAAATCCAATCAGGCTCCTTCCCTGCTGCTGATATCCCAGCTTTGGGTGCCATGGTGGGTTTATACTAGTTTATTATACAATACATATGCAAATATTCACCTTGTAAAAACAGAAATATTCTTGATAGAGCTAAGTCTTGTGGCTATCTTCTACCCTGATCCTCTCCTCATCCACCTCCACCCCCAGGTCAACTGTTCTTTGCTTGACAGACATCACACCTGTGCCTGCATTTACACACATTTGTTCACATAGAAAGCGTAGCCTTGTTTATGGCTTCTCTGAATGGAAATAATATTTAATATAATTCTGCCACCTGCTTTTGTCACTCATCAGTGTCTCTGAGATATTTCTGTGCTAGCACACATAGGTGCAACTCATCCTTCCCAACTACTGTACAGTATTCTATGGTCTGGTCTATTCTATTTGATTCTAGTCTATCTTATTCTATGGTAATTTGTCTTCATGGCATGTGCTGTAATAACATACTAGAAACTCAGTGCTTAAAACAATGGACATTTATTCTCATACAGCTATGGAGGCTAGAAGTCCAAAATTAAAGCACTGGGAAGGCAATACTCTCTCACTGAAGGCTCAGGGGACATCCTTACTTCTCCCGGGGAATGTTGCCACTCCTTGGCTTGTAAAGGAATAACTCCAGTCTCTGCCTCCCTCTTCATGTAGTTTATGCTCCAAGTGACTCTTTTCTCCCATTCTCTTCTAAGGACACTGGGTATTGGGAAAAGACAAAAGAAGGAGAGTAAATTCTTTCCATATAAAGCTATGTCCTACAAATAGTGCAGTCACTTCTCACATTCCATTGGCTAACTCTTGGTCCGATGGCCCCAGTTACCCTCAAGGAAGCCTGGAAAATGTAGTCCTTAGCTGAATATCTAGAGATTCTGCTACTTTGTGAGTAGGGATAACTGCAAGCCTGTGCCACCCTAGGTGTTTCTCCAGTGTAAATACCCAGAGCAGAATGGCTAGCCATGAGGACAGGCTTATTTCAATTGTGGTAGTATCAAGTTATCCTGTAATGCTGTCATGCAGATTTATATTCCCACCAACAAGTTGAGAATAGCTTTTTCTATGCCATCACCAACCATTAATGAAAGCAAATTTTAAAAATTTTGTCATTGCAGTGGAGAGAAATGCATATTTTTAAGTATTTTCAATTCCGTGATTTTTAGTGAAGCTGCTGAGTATTAGTTAACATATTTATTGGTCATTTCTATTTCATCTTCTCTGATTTTTTTTCTTCCTATTAAATTGCTTGTCTTTCTTTAGGTGACCAAAAGGAGTTCCTTACAATATGCTCAGTATTAATATGCCTGTCATAACTTTTACAAACATTTCCCCCAATTTTGCACTGCCTTTCCATTTTGTCTTAGGGTATATTTTGTCATAACAGAGGTTTTAAAGATGTGTTATTTGTGTCATCTAAGAAGTGTTGATTTTAAAAAGCAAATGTTGTTTCTAAGCTTTTTGTCCCACGAAGCTAGAAAATTCTGGAATGACTGGAAAGACTCTTGTCCCTTAAGAATGCTTGGAAAGAGTCTTGTCCCCTCATCAAAGTCAGGGACATATACAACTGGCTCGTATCTCGTGGTCCCATCCCCCAAATTTCGGTTCTCCTGATTCTTCCATTCAGGGCTCCTGTCATCAGTCAAACAAGTGACAGAGATTTTGGACGAGGACACCCTAAGCATCTAGTTAAGAAGGGAAAGTCTTCCATATTATTTGTTAGTCTGTTTGAGCTTTGAGTACTCACAAGCATAGAAAGAGCCTTTTGGGCAGGCAAAATTTTTGTACCCACAGGATACAGAGGTTTAATACAATAGGACCAATGTCAGAGCCCTCTTTGAATAAAAGAGGGCGAATCCCTTTGGTCCTTCCTGCTGGCAGGGGGTGATGGTGTATGTCTTCACGCTACCCTAAAAACCTCATGTAGTCCCAGACAGGACCTGTGAAAGGTGACTGATTACAGGAGCTTGAGGCTGACCCGCTGTTGGTCAGAAGGGGCTGTCACTGAGGGTGTGACCCAGAAGGTTATCTCTCCTTTCCTAGCTCCACCTTCACGCTCTGCTCCCAGTCACCACAGTACAAGCAGCTTCTCCTCTGCCATGCTATCCTGCCTGGGAGCCAGCCAACCACGGGCTGTAAACATGAGCCAAAATAACTCTCTCCTCTTTTGAGATTCACGTGTTGGGTATTCTTCTTAGCAATGAGGACAGTAACTACAACACAGGATCTTCCATGGGGTCAGGAGGAGTGGAATCTCAGCTGTGTCCCTCATGATGGGCACTGGTGAGGGTCCCGTTTCCTCACCTGGAGAGGGGATGATCTGAGGTCATCCTTTCTGGAGCCACCGGAGGATGCAAGAGATGTCAGTTGTTCATCATATGCTTGTGCATAGTGTGCCCTGAACAGGTGCCTTTCCGGTTGGTGGAGGAAGGAGTAGGAAGACAAGATACTAATGCAGATGCTGGCAAACCACCGGGTGCACTTGTCCATTTGACCACAAATTTTCATTGAGTGTGTCCTACAGGCCAGGCACTGTTTAGAGTAAGGACACCTGGAGAAGTGTGACTCCAAGCCTGGGGACATATAAGATGAAGAATCAGGAGCCTAGAACAGATAAGACTATTGAATAAATATAATTTCATTTTAATTGAAAGAGGAGCACTGTGGCCATGTCAGGACATTATTATAGCACGGCTTTACATACACACGGGGGCGGGGTATCTCTCACCTAAACACAAGTGCTGTGGTTTAGGTAAGCATTCCTTAAAGGTCTATGTGTGAAAGACATGGACCTCAGGTGTGGTGCTATCGGGAGGTGGTGAGGGAACCTTTAAGAGGCGGAGCCTCGTGGGAGGAAGTGACATCATGGGGCAGGGCCTTGGAGGGGATACTGGGAATCCAGCCCCTTTAAGGGACTGTTCTCTTCCTGTTTATCTTTTACTTCTTGATTGCTCTCAGGAGAGCAACCTTGCCCACCACATATTCCGGTCGCAATGCACTGTGCTGTCACAAGCCCAGAGCAACAGACCTAGCAATCATGGACTGAAATCTTGGAAAATGGAAGATTACTTCCATTACCTCCTTATAAGTTGATTATCTCAAGTCCAAGAGTGAAGGAAATAGGTAACTGCATTCTCTCTGGTTTTGACTCCGGCCGTCTGAGGGTCCATGACCAGCAGGAAGTCTCCTTGTGCAAACAGAGGACGCGAGACGAGGGTGTTGGTGACAGTACTGTAGCCCTTGAGGACGGGGCCACCCTGTGCAGCTCACCGTGGATGTGAGCAGCGACCACACTGTTCTGCAGCTCCAGGAAGCATTCGCTGGCTGTGAATGACGCAAACTGCTCTGTGGGAGACGGATGGTTCTCGCGCACCCGGAACTGGACCTGTGCCCGCTGCACGGCCGTGGCGATGTCGGAAACCGGGCGGAAATACCGGCCTCCGCAGGGCGCCAGGCACAGGTAGGTGGCAGGGATGAGGAAGCGGCGCCCGCCTGCCTCTGGAGAGCTCCGTGGCCAGGAGCTTGCGCACTTCCCGGGTCCCAAGCTGGTCAGGAGCTGCCCGCATTTCCGCGGGAAGAGCTTTGCCGGGACTAAGCTCGTGATCCTGATTCTCAGTGGGAATCGGGTTACCTCCGTGCTGTAGATTTGCCCCACGGCCATGAATTCGTCTGGATTCTGTCCCAGTCCTGTCTCGTCAGTCACAGGGTGGCCAGGTGGGAGGGGATGCTGACCTCATGTCCACCTGCAGGGCAGGAGGGAGACCGTCACACGAGGCTCTGGGGCTCCCATCGGGTTCACGCGTCACAGGGAGGGCGAGAGACCCACAAAGCGCGGACACTTCTGGAAAACTCGCTGAGATGCCGGCATGGACGGTCCCAGCCGCGGGCCCTGGAGCCCACACTGTCCGCGTCGGCTTAGAGTGCACGTGGTAGTGAAGGACACACAGGGAGCCGTGGACACCGCACTCTTCCTCGGGACCCAGGGGCTCCGGGGAGCGCGTTCAAGAGAGAACACGCGCTCTGCGGCGCGTGGCAGTAGGTGCACCGCAGAGTGAGAGCTGGGGACGCGCATCCCCCACTCACAGCGGCCCCGGCCCCTGCACCCAGCTCGCGGTGACCTCAGGGCGGTGACAGGGCGGCTACCACTCGAGGTGTGGACTGCGCTGGGGAGATGAGACACACTCAGGAAGGCGAGAAGCGAGGTTAACAAATGCAGGGAGCTGCCACCTCCCTTGGTCTGAAGGCAGGAGCGAGGTGGCTGGAACAGATTGAGCTGCCGGGCTGGAGCTTTTGGCAGAAGGTCACAGCCAGCCTGGCAGTCTGCCCGGGAGCCCGTGCCTTCCCCTCGGGCAGCGGCCTCTGAGAACCTTGGCTGACCTTAATCTGAAACCACACAGCAAGGGAGGTGGTTACACTGGCCTCTGGGGACACGGAAAGGAAGGCGGGGTGAGCAGGTGGTTTGCCTGAGGCTGAGGCAGGAAGGCACAGGCAGGTGCACCTCTACACTGTGGTGTGGGGTACGGCCCCCAGGGCTGTGTCTTCCTTCAGTCTTCCGTGAAGACAGAAGTCACGATGTGTTGCTTTGCAGGCAGTGGTTTTAGGAGCATCTCGATACAGTTATTTAAGCTCCAAGAATTCTAAATGGGAAAGGGCTTTGAGCAAGCAGCTGTTCGCCACGTCCCCACCTTTCCCTTCTCGGCTTTCATGTAAAATGAACATTTCACAATGACTAGAAGGAAGTCTAACTGTGTCATTTGTGTGACCAAGAGGGCTGCAGGCTGATACAGGTCCACTGACTTCCATACCACAGAGGATGTAATGGGCTCAAGGTCAACTCTGACCTCAACCTGACTGGGGAGGAGTCACACTACAGTGAACGATTCGAGTCTGGCTACATCTGGTTGGTCCCTGGAAACAGATATTGAAGCCACATTCTTTTTTGGGTTTCCTATACAGGAGCATGTACTACAAAGGAAACTGTAACCCTGGATCAGGTGCGTTCAAAGGCAGTGATTTAAGTCAGTGGGAATCAGCACAGGCTCAATTAAACTTTATAAGAAGTTAAGAAGTGAGAATTCCCTTAATAAAATTCCAAGAGCCTGCACAGTGACTGGCTGCTGAGGAGGCTGAGGCAGGAGGATAACTTGAGACTAGGAGTTGCAGACCAGCCTGGGTAACTCAACACGACCCTTTCTCACAAAACAAAGCTTCAGAGAGTATCTACTTAAGTCATAAAACTCACTTTAAAAGTACGGGAGGGCTAGGGGTTTAGCTAAGTGGTTCCACCTCCTGCCTTGCAAGCACAAGGTCCCGAGTTCAATCCCTGGTACCACCAAAAAAAAAAAAAAAAAAAAAAAAAAAAAAA